ATGGATGACATATGCTTTGGTTCTCACTCTGAAAGACAGAGAAAACACTTCACCCGAGATCATTGGTGTTGCCTTGACCATTCTTTTACTTCTCTTCCTCTCTTCGTTGGCAACATTCCCTCTTGTGCGCCATCTCCATCACAATGTTTTCGAAAGACTCACCGGTTTGCTGGGTGGTCTGCTCTTCTTCTCCTCTGGGCCTTCATCATCCTCACAATCTCTTATGACCCCAAAACCAAGTCCTATAGCAATGACCTTGGGTCTAGGTTGATAAAGCAACAAGAATTCTGGTACACAACTGCCATTACAATAACAATAATCATGCCATGGATGACAGTGAGACGTGTGCCGGTTAAAGTATCTTCCCCGTCAGGCCATGCCTCCATTATCAAGTTTGAAGGAGGAGTGAAAGGTGGTATATTGGGAAGGATTATTCCATCACCCTTGCCCAAATGGCACGCCTTTGGGATCATTTCTGATGGGAAGAAACAACACATGATGCTCGCTGGTGCCGTTGGTGATTTCACCAAATCCTTGGTATCAAACCCACCGAGCCATTTATGGGCGAGGCATGTGCACTTTGCTGGTCTGCCTTACCTGGTGAACATGTATGATAGGGTTTTGGTGGTGGCAACAGGGTCAGGTATTTGTGTGTTTCTCTCTTTCCTGTTGCAGCCATGTTCAGCTGATGTTTGCGTGCTCTGGGTGGCCAAAGGAATTGAACAAAACTTTGGAAAGGAGATTAAAGAGATGATGAGTGGGCATCCTAAAGACAAGGTAATTGTCCTTGAGACTGCGGTGCTTGGTCGGCCGAACATGTCAAAAATGAGCGTGGATGCAACAAGAAACTGGGGAGCTCAGGTGGTGATTGTAACTAGTAATCCAGAAGGGAGCAGGGATGTTGTCGATGCATGCAATGTTTCTGGCATTCCTGCCTTTGGTCCCATTTGGGACTCTTAATCTTTAGGCATGGAATTATGTACTATTTAGTCTAAGATTGGTTGAGTTGGTAATTTAAGACCTAATATTTCACATTGCCTACACAAATGGAATTCTTAGGTTAGAAACTCGAATCTAAAAAATAATAGGCTTAGATTTAATCATCATCAATTGTTTTTGAGGTGGATACTTTAGTTTGTTATCAAATCATGGATTGAAGAGGCTCTGAGCAAGTCTTTTTGTTATAATTTTTCCTTTTTGTAATTGACTCCCTCTTTATTCACGGCATAAGGACACCATATACCATATATTTGGGCATCTGATTAAATTGTTAACAATAACTCAATTTAGTTGAATTTAAAAAACCCTCGTTCTAGTTCTTCTATCATTTATCTTCTAGCTTCGGTTTTTTCAAATTTGTAGTTCTTTTAAGAGAAAACTGAGTTTCAAAACGTTCAATCATTTCTACTAATAAATAAAATGATTATTTTGTGCTACTGAATAAAAGTTCTTGTACTACTTGTTCAATTATGAGATATCAGTGCCTGAAAGCTTCCAATTTTGGACACACCATGTTATGTTGACCTAGATTTTTTTCAAAATTTTTTCATCTCAAGTGATGTGACACAGTTTTCACTACTCCCTTCGTTTTTAAACATTTGTTGTTTTACATAATTTTTTTTGTTCCATAATATCTGTCGTTTAATGAAACCAAAACATAATTAATATTTTTTTCTTCCAAATTTGCCCTTAACTTTTCAATACATTAGATTTGGCGGAGGTTATGTGCCTTTTATATTCCTTTCCTTCCCAATACGTATTAAATAAGAGTATTTTAGTCTTGTGGAATTATTTTTTACTCATATTAGAGCCATTTAATAGTTTCCTTAATCCATGTGCAAAAACCTTAAACGACAGATATTTAAGAACGGTGAAAGTATTAAATAAGTTGATCCCATTAATATTGAGCAATGGAACTAAGACCTAAAAATTTCACATAATTTACTGATCTAATTCACTGTGACATTTGGATTGGTTGTAGGTCCTATCAAACATTGGAATTTGGTATTGATCCAATAATTCCTATTAAATCACATCATTATGTCAGTAAATTAGATTAAATTTTTATGTCCAAATAACATTGCTCATTAATATTCAATGATAAAAATTATGTCACGTAAGTGAAGATAAAAAGCTTAATAAAAAATTTGATAAGCACAAAATTATTAATGAAATAAACGGAATGATTGGTAGGCTGTACTTTGCATTTGGAGATGCTTTGCTAGTGGGATGATAGTTTGACCATGGACTCTAGTAATGCAAGTAGGAGGTTGCTCAGTGGGTTCTTATCCACTGCCGGACACATTTTGCCTTTTTTTTTTGTTGGGTCAACTTAAAAGGAAGTGACAGCATACCAAACCTTTGAAATAATACCCTTAAATCCTCTACTCTTATTTACCAAGACCAAAGGATGTTGGATTTTATCTTCCTTCACTGTATTCTTTTTGAATTTTTCTCCATGACAGATCATCTGACCTGAACTCTCTTCATTAAAGAGATGATGAGTGGACATCCTAAAGAGAAGGTGTTTGTCCATGACACGGCGGGGTTTGGTGGCCGAACGTGTCAAAAGTGAGCGTTGATGCAGCAAGGAATTGGAGAGCTAATTAGGGTTGTGATTGTGACCAGTAATCCCGAAGGAAGCAGAGATGTTGTGAATTAATTTCAAGTTCAATTAAAATCATTTAAATCTTTACTGCATACAAAAATTGATCCAAAAAAAAAAAAAAACTGCATACAAATGTCGTGTAATTTGAGCTCAACCCGAGTGCAAAAATATAAGCACAGAAAATACTTGAATTGAAGAATTCTGTTTGAATTTAAGTTTAAGTTAAAACTACAACTCATTGATATAGGACTCACTATTTATAAGTGGACTTTTTAACAATATATGATGTGTGACTTATCAGTCATTGAAATTAAAAGAAAACTATATGATAAGTTCCATTAGGTTTGGTATACTAATAGTTCTTGATAGTCAGATTAAGAAGTCGATAGGGCAACTCGGAAACCAATATGACTATGTGGGTAACAGCACAAAAATAAAAATAACAAAATTATGTGGGTTACGGATCACTATCAACTCTGAACATTATTACCAAACAACCATAGCCTGTGTTTTTTTTTAACATTTTTTTTTTAATTAAGATATTAATAGCTCAGTATAGTGCATTGATGCAATAGTCATAGTTTAGCCAAAACTAGTTCCAACTAAGAAAGACTCGCAACGACGTCGTCCAACTCATATGACTTGGAATCCGAATGACATCATCTTCTCTTCGTCTCTTCCTTACACAAATTGGATGATCCTTCCTGAAGGGGTTAGCCCTCGTGATGACACGTGTTACAACATTAAATAAGCTTACGTGAGCTTGACAAGACCAGTCATGTGACGAGGATATCCTCCTAGCCTTGAGGACTGAACCAAACTGATCAGTTTATTTGACAAACAAAGAAAGAGTTAGGTTCTCTTCATAATCGAACTCATCAGTCTGTTTAGCTAAACAAGGAAAGAGTTCGACATGTACCAAACCGAGTCCATTAAAATGTCCGGCAAGAAAATTGGAGAGATCGATTTGTACCAAACCAAGTCCCTTAATTTGTTCGGCAAATATCAAGTATGCTTGACATTCGATATGACCGGGCTGTTTTAAATGATAAACAGAAAGACAAAGATTCGCCTATAATTTAGGCAATCAGATAAACAAATTAGAGAAATTGAAGATATTAAGAGAAAATAATGGAGAAATATCAGCAACTTCCCAAACTTAATGACTGAATTGAAGAAAGGTGTGCCACATTGAACCTAAATTCATGAAAACCTTAAGGGGAGAACGATCTATAAAAAACAGAAGAGACCAAGGTGAAAGGTATGCTAAACCTTCCTTATCTTCTTCCATTCGTTTCATTATCCTTACTGACTTAAGTATTGGAGTGTCTTCGATTGAAGCACTTTGATCTTGGACAGTGTGTTGGTTTTGCAGGAAGAGGAAAATTGGGAGATCAAGTTCAGAATCCCATAACCATTTCAATTTCAGTAGGAGGTAATCTCAATTTTTTGCCTCTTACATTTGGCGCCATCTGTGGGAAAGATCATCATCTTTCAGAACAAAAAACTACGATGTCAAGGCTCAGAAGCACAATTGGATCACCTGTAGGTAGTTTTTCCTTGGGAAATTCTGATCCTCCGTCTCATCCTTCTGACAGCAATGCAAGGTTGCATGCAATCAGAAGCCCCTCCAGAATTCGTGAAGATGACGAGGTATCCTCTACGAGTTTCAAGCCCTTAAAAAATCAGAACCAACCGAGCCAGGATCATGGTAAGTCCCTCTGTGCCGAGGGGGAGGACCATTCCTTGGCAAAGCTAGTCCAGTCCCTACAGGATCGACTTGACGCCAATGACAAGCTGTTCAAGAAATCTTATGCTAAGGAGAAAGATTTGATCCGAGAAAATGAAGAGTTAAAGGCAAAGTTGAAAGAGGTGACTAGAAAAGAAAAGCAGGCGAGAGAAGATTGGCATGAAAGTTCAGGACGGAAGCCTAACAGAGTTAAAATTGCCGATGAGAAAGATTACCGGCAGAAGAAGCCTCGGATCCAGGAGGAGGATACGTGGAAGTAGTATATCAATGAAGAGCTCAACATTCGCTTGAAGAGACCAAAATAGAGGTCAGCTAGGAACTTAGTCAAAAGAGCAACAGGGGAGTACGGAGATGGTTTGGAGTCATCCCCATTCACTGCCTGGGTCGAAAAAAGCACAAATCCCGAGCAAGTTTGTCATCCTGAACTTCAAATTGTACGACGGAAAGATCGACCCAGACTCACATATCAGGCACTTCCGACAATTGGTGACCATCCACCGAAGAAACGAGCCATTGTTCTACACTATCTTCCCTAGCATTCTGGGGGAGTCCGCCATGAAGTGGTTCGACAACTTACCAAAAGGAACGATTAACGGGTGGTCTAAGTTAGCCGAGCAGTTCACAGCTCGATTAATCACGAGCAGTAAACAACTAAAGGATGTTGGGGCTCTATTGACACTGAAAAAGAAGAGTAAAGAAAGCTTGCGAGAGTATGCACATCGCTATTTGGAAACCATGAATGAAGTCGAAGGGTGCAATCCAGAGATTGCAATTACATCCTTCAAGATCGGCTTGTCGAAAGAAAACGCTTTATACCAATCGCTCACAAGGAGACCAACTACTGACCTGGAAGAATTAATGGCCAGAATTGAAAAGTATGCCAAAGTGGATGATGACTTATCCAGAGAAGTGGTTAAGGAACATCCGAGCAGGAGACAGTTTGGAAGGGAAAAACAAGTTGAGTCGAATAGAGAGGGAGGAAGGAAGTTTGAGAAGGAGGGATATCCCCAAAGGTCCCTTTTTTTGGGGGTAAATACATTGTTCAAAGAACCAATATACAAGGTTCTAAGTCAGATCAAAGGTAAGCCGTTCTTCAAATGACCGAACAAACTAATAGGTGATCCATCTAAAAGGAATCCAAATTTTAGGTGCTCGTATCACATAGATATATGCCATATGACTGAGAATTTCCAATCTCTCAAGCAACACCTAGAGGAGTTAGTCCAAACTAGACATCTCACAGAATTCATTGAAAGTGAGCAGAAAACCAAAGGGGGGAGAACCGAGCCAAAAGGGGACTCCGACACTCCAGTTAGGATAATTGATGTGATCCATGCCACCACCAACCCTTAGATGTCCATGAACAACTTTGCTTGGGCTTATATTCAGAAAACAACCAAAGAGAGAGAAGTGTACGAGTTAAGAATGACCCTAGAGGTTGCCAACAACGAATCAAGATAGAGGATACAGTCGAAGCGATTTATTTCACCGAGCAAGATTTGGTCGGCGTTCACAAACCGCACAATGACGCCTTGGTCTTCACACTTTGGATTGTGAATTTTGATGTGAGAAGGGTCCTGATTGATTCGTGGAATTCGTCAG